AGAATGGTCCTTTCAGCTGATTTTGGACTTACAGTTCAGAAATGGGTGGAAGTTAATACTACAGAATATCTAATTTGTCTGGTGTGACCACTTCCATCCAATGTATTATGCTGAGGCAGGGCATATGTACCACTGGAGCCTCCATGAGTCTGAATTTGTACTGCACATATATACGTATTCTGAACATCAGCACAATCATATTATTAGAATATCTTTAATAACAGGGCTGCTTCTCAGAGAAATCCCACTCTATTTAATTTAGTTGATTGATCCATTTTACATAGGTGTAAAACCAATAGCTTTGAAGCCAAACTAATTCTGAGTCCTTCATAGGTAGTGTTGGTAGTTTGTGCTCATTTGACTTTCTCTTGTGCTAGCACTTTGCTTAGGACTTATTCCTTGTTTGCTTGCCATCATGAGGTAATAGTTCTTCTGCAATGCAAAGTAAGTAGTTCATTTACTGAACTGCCCCCAGTATTTTGGAAGGAAGAGAAGTATTTGAGCCAGATTTCTTCATTGTGTAATCTGCAGCTCTCTTTAGGCATTTGGGTTTTCTTGCTTTCCTTCATATTTTGGAAGAACATGAGGTGCTTGGAAAATATACCCCTCTTTTCAGCATTTGAAAAAAGGTCTCTTTGTTTTTGAACGCACCACATCTTCAGCAGAGGGGGAGGCCCGAGGAATTTAGAACCAGGGATTCGGTTCACCCACTTTAAGAAATGTCCTTGCCAATCCTGATGTTCAGCCAAAATGACACATTTCTTTAGCTTATTGTGTTGATCTTACTGGCACAGCATCTGGCCTCTTCTGAACAAAGGGCAAAATTGCAAATGCTCAGTTTGGGAACGAGAGACTTGCGAGGATAAAGGTGAAGCTGGGGCAGACCCAAGTTCATTTGCAGCTCTTCAAATTGCTTGGGGCTGTGCTCCTCAAACTGCCCTCAGGAAATAAGCCCCATTCAGGATTTTTTCCAGCTGATATGCGTGCGTCAGTTGTTTAAAATCTAAAAAGAGGCTGCTGGATGAGGCCAGTGGCCCATCTAGTCCAGCATGCTGTTCTCACCATGGCCAGCCAGGTGTCTATGGGAAGCCTGAAAGCAGGACCTAAGTGCAACAGCAACTCTCCCCCCTTGCAGATTCCAGCATCTGGTATCCAAAAGCTTACCTCTGACAGCGGAGGTAGAATTATCCTCCACGAACTTGTCGAACCATAAGCTGTGTGAAGAAGTACTTCCTTTTGCCTCTCCTAAATCTTCCAACATGCATCTTCATGGGGTGTCCACAGGTTCCAGTGTGAAAAAGTGCTTTCCCCCCATTTTCTCCATACAACACATGGTTTTATATGCTTCCATCATGTTGCTTTTCACTTGCCTTTCCTCTAGACGGCACTATTTTGGGGAATATTTCTGAACCCTGCCTACTCAACCAGAGCGGTCAATATTGACCTCCTCCCCTCAGTGGTTGGGCTGTTCCAGGGAGTGAATAAAATTCTTTCGGGCGGAAAGGGCACCCGTGAAAAAAAGTTTGTGAGCTACAGTGAAAAATAAATAATGAGGGGCTATGGGCCTTCTTGGGAGAAGGGCAATGACAGGCCTTGACAGCATCTTGAGAAGTAGAGACGTAACCTTGCCAACAAAGGTCCGTATAGTTAAAGCCATGGTTTTCCCAGTAGTGATGTATGGAAGTGAGAGCTGGACCATAAAGAAGGCTGATCGCCGAAGAATTGATGCTTTTGAATTATGGTGCTGGAGAAGACTCTTGAGAGTCCCATGGACTGCAAGAAGATCAAACGCATCCATTCTTAAGGAAATCAGCCCTGAGTGCTCACTGGAAGGACAGATCGTGAAGCTGAGGCTCCAGTACTTTGGCCACCTCATGAGAAGAGAAGACTCCCTGGAGAAGACACTGATGCTGGGAAAGATTGAGGGCAGAAGGAGAAGGGGGCGACAGAGGACGAGATGGTTGGATAGTGTTTTCGAGGTTACCAGCATGAGTTTGACCAAACTGCGGGAAGTAGTGGAGGACAGAGGTGCCTGGCGTGCTCTGGTCCATGGGGTCACGAAGAGTCGGACACGACTAAACAACAACAACAACAAATGGGCCTCAGAAATAAAGGGTGTGTACAGAGTACACATCTCTTGCCAATGAGAAACCTCCATGTTTAATAAGATGCTTCTACAATACAAAAGTATTCCCTGTGTCTTAATGATTCTTAGTAATGGTGATTGATGATATTTCTTGACTTTATTTTCCTTTTCTAAAAAATTGTGTTGGGGTCAATGATAACTTTATAAGCTCATCAAGGGGTCGGTGAACTCAAAAGGCTTGGAAAACTGCTAAATATTGAAGATCCAGAGATAATTGTGCTGAAGGGCACTATTAGAAGTGATAAGAACAGTTTCAGCTTAAGAACGGACCTCCGGAACGAATTAAGTTCGTAACCAGAGGTACCACTGTAGAATTCTACAGCATGTGTTGCTAGTGTGTTAAAACAGTCAAGATCCAAGGATCCCCAGGCATGTACCTCCAGATGGTGGAGACAGTGACTGATAGCCAGGTGCAAAATGAAGTGACCTTAGCCGACAATGTCTGGCCACTGATGTTGTCTCCACATGATTCGATCACCGTTTGTGCCACATTGCAGTCATTCAGCAAGGCCCCTGATCCTCACGAGAGGCTTATTATGGGGATGCCAGAGGAGGAAAATTTTGCTTATATCATCCCGCTTTCAGGTCATTTTTCTCTGGCTCTAACCCTGTGGATGATAAGAAACATTTTTTCCCCTAAGGTGGCAACATCACTGTTTATTTTAAAGCAACTAATATGGTGAAATTGCGTAAGGAAACTAGCAGAAGCAAAGCACGATCTTGCATAATTGTCTGGTCCCAAAGTATTCCGACCAGTAACAAGAGGGTGCCGTACCTGCAACACTGTCTGTGTTGTTCCTTATTCTGTATGAACATAAAACATAACTTTCTCCATAAACATAAATTATGAGTGTTGGAGCCTAGCCAACCATTCTGTAGTTGACCTGTATTAGAACTCTTATTTATGCAATGTCTTGTACGGTGCACAGCTGCAGAGGTTGAATGCTGCTCCGAGGACACGATTTGGCAAGATCGACTGAGTACAACAGTCCCCTTCACCCAATCTGAGCATCATCTCCCCCCGCCCCCGTCCCAGTACAGCCGATCAAAGAGTCTTGCTATCCAGTGTCTGGGACTCCTACAAATGTTCTCTGTGTTCTCCTCTTAAATTTCTTTGAAGATACTACTTTATACTGTCAGAAGGATTACCAGCATAGCCTTAATTTTTCAAATAATACGTTTGGAGTTTCATCATGCACACTTAAGAGCAGATGAAAAGGGTGCAATAAGACATAGATTGTCTGCCTTTAATTTAAAGTACTTGAAGTGCAACCTGCCGGGATGTAGAGACTTGGATCTGTTTTTTCGGTGCCACTTGTTAGCATGTAAGCATATTTAAGGTGTGTGCATATTATGGACTCCAAATCTTCCAAGTGTTTCTCAGCAATCCTCGCAACAGCTATTTAAGATAGGACAATATTATCCCTGTGATGCAGATGTGAGGGCTAAAAAAAAAAGTAGCTTACATTTAGTGGGTTTATTGGTTGGGGGAAAGCTGCACTGGAGAGCAATGGCTGTTGGCCATGGTGGAAGATAAAAGGCAATATACTTCTGAATTCCAGTTGGGAAAAGCGGTTTCCTCCATATGTTGCTGAGGTTTTCCTTATGTTATCCTGGGAAGCAGGATGCTCTCACCCACTGTGTTACACCACCACTTCACCTGGAACCAACCAGGTGTTTGCTTGTTTATTTGAGAACATGGCCCATCCAATACTATTTTCAAAGGCATGTTGGGCAAAAGGGTACATACAGATATAGACCCAATGGTGCCCAACATGTAGCACTGATCAGTGTTCAAAATTCACCAGGCACGTTTGGCTACTGGCACAGGTCCAATTGCGACCATGTGGAGATTGCTGGGCACCAGGTTGGCAACCACAGCTTAAAAACCTCTGCCTTAGTCCATAATTAATACCATTTCCATTTCCGCTGTGTGTGTTTCTCCTTCTTGCATTCTGGGACAAGTGAATTGTTGTAAGAGCAAGCTACGTCAAACAATGTAGTTAAGATCACACAATCATAGAATCGTGGAATGGTAGCATTGGACCCCAAGGGTCATCTAGTCCAACCCCCTGGCGAACAGACATTCCGTGGTGGTGACCATGACTTGTGTTAAGGTGGTATCTGGCGCCTAGCTTATATATCTGAGTTTCTAACACCGGCACTGATGTGGAACTTGAAATGTTGCTAAAACAACAGCCCAGTTTGCACATCACTGTAAACCATGGTTAATGGCTTAGTGCGAACATGCTGCTCTCCCCCACTTTGCTGCTGCTCGCTAGCATGTGGGGGGAAACAATCACAATCTCTGATTGAGCATTTTGTCTGAGTTGGGATCATGGGTTCTGTTGTTCCAAACAAACCACGATCTGTAGCCAAGGTTTGCTCTTGGCTTACTGATCATGGTTTGTCTGGGCAAAGCATAAACTGACGAGACATAACAATACGCCAGGAATTGTGGATCTCTCCCCAGTTGTGGGAAGGAGCAAAGTGAGCGAAATAGGTCTGCTCGTGGTAAAACTATTAAAGGTGGCTTACAGCGATGTGTGAATGAGGCTAGTAATGTACTAATGCAGGTAATTGTCAGAGTGCATTGCTGAGCTGTGCAGTGGTGGTTAGTTAAATATGCCCGCTCCCTCTTTCCAACATGACCTTTCCTTTGGAAGGTCTGCATTGTGCTCATGAAAGACATTTGACTCTATGCTTTAGCAGGCATGTGTACCTTGTTGAAGTAGCTTAGCTTCATGCCTCCATCCATATTTCATTTTTTTTAAGGGGCAGTTTACCTCTCTGATATTGGTACATTTAAGTCTCCTATTCTTTTGTAAGTTTTCTTTTACATTTCAACCTGCAGGTGCAAGACTAGCTCTGGCAAGACTTCTTTCAGGTGAGTGTTCGATGTGGACGGATTGTTGACAGGGTCAGATAACCTAACCAAATGGTGTTTACAGCTTTTGAATTTAACAATTTTGTGCCATGCTTTTCTTTTTGATGCCCAGTGTGTTCTGCATATTACATTCTAGCAGTAGGACACAGGATCCACTAATAAACTAAATTGGTACAATAGATTCAGGGCAAAGTATTTTATGCAGTATGTACCATATTTTTTGCTCTATAAGACTCACTTTTTCCCTCCTAAAAAGTAAGGGGAAATGTGTGTGCATCTTATGGAGCGAATGCAGGCTGCACAGCTATCCCAGAAGCCAGAACAGCAAGAGGGGTTGCTGCTTTTACTGCGCAGCGATCCCACTTGCTGTTCTGGCTTCTGAGATTCAGAATATTTTTTTTCTTGTTTTCCTCCTCCAAAAACACCAGTCTTGTGGTCTGGTGCGTCTTATAGAGCGAAAAATACGGTAATTAGATTTTGGAACAGCAGAGTAGAATAGATAGCTCTAAAAGACAAACAGGCAGATACCTGGAAGGTGGGTCCGATTGCAGCTGTTGACCAGAATGCTAGTTGGTGGGGAGGCTGTTGCATTCAAGCCCTGCTGGTGGACTTCTCAGATACGTCTGATTGGCTACTGTGGCCAGCAGGATAGTAGACTAGGAGGAGAAGTTTGGTTTGCATTTGGTTGCTTCCCTCTCTATTCCTCTCCTGCTGTTGTATTGTGTCTATTACAATGCAAGCCTGTGGGCAGGGACTGTTTCGTGTTGTACTTCCTGCCACACTGCTTAATTTTTTTATGTGCCTTTATAAATGATGATCAAGCAGGACTCTTACGTTATTGAGGCAGAATCCATGCAGGTGTGACCCTGTAGATGTTGCTGAATTACAACTCCCATAAGCCTCAGCAAGCATAGCCAGTGGCCAGGGATGATGGGAGTTGTAGTTCAGCAGCATCTGCAGGCCCAAAGGTCTCCCCACACCTGCTTCAAAAGATTCTCCAAACTTCAGGAGTGACATTTGTGGTGCAGGGAGGAGTGGACTTTGTGGAAAGGGCTCCCCTGATCATTCTGCTGAGTGCACGGAAGGCATCTCGTAGGTATTTGCACCACATCCATTTTATTTCCATGCATCATATCTTTTTCTTAAAGGAAATCTTGAAAGCCTTGATGCATTTAATTAAAATTGGTGCAGAAAACTCTTTGAGGAACTTCTCTTATGCCATTTTGGTTAGTTTTGTTTTGTTTCTTTTTTAAGTTGGAAGAACTCAAATCTGCCTCAGACTCTTTAAGCAAGCCCTTGAATCTCACAATGCAGGCTTGACATTTTGCTTGACACAGCTTGCTATACTGTCAAGATGTCTTTCATAAAAAAAACCAAGCCTGCCGACATGTGAGGGCTGCTGAAAAGCCTCTGCTATGAATCCATACGCCTTGGGCTCATCCCATCAGTTGCCAAATATGACATGGTAGCCGTTGGAAATCCAGCCCAAAGATGTGAGAAGCTTTCATGGTTATACTAACTCCCTCAGACTTGTCCAGTAGTTTTAACTTAATATGGTTGCTTAATAGTCATGCTATTAGGATTTGGAAGCTTTTCCTCTGCTGAAGGATTTGCTTGGAAAGTTTGAAGTGGTTCACCCAATGCTTACACTTCACCTTGCCCTGTTTCCTTCATGCAAGTAAGCGCATGAGCGTGAACACTATCAGTGTCACAAACTCAGATATATAAGCTAGGTGCCAAATGGTTCCTTTAATCAGGGTTACCGTTGCCAAAACAGAATGCCTGGTTGCCATTTTTGGACCAGACACCTCAAAAGTCGTATTTTGCAGTGTGACCTGAAATTCATTCTGATTGTGCAGATAAAATATAACTGATACAGTGGTACCTCTGGTTACGAGTGCTTCAGGTTACGAGCTCCACTAACCCGGAAGTAGTTGCTCCTGGTTGCGAACTTTGCCCCAAGATGCGAACAGAAGTCGCACGCTGGCAGCGCTGCAGCAGCGGGAGGCCCCATTAGCGCAAGTGCACCTCAGGATAAGAACAGTTTCAGCTTAAGAACGGACCTCCGGAACGAATTAAGTTCGTAACCAGAGGTACCACTGTAGAATTCTACAGCATGTGTTGCTAGTGTGTTAAAACAGTCAAGATCCAAGGATCCCCAGGCATGTACCTCCAGATGGTGGAGACAGTGACTGATAGCCAGGTGCAAAATGCGCTTGACACTTGGCTAATTTCGAACGCTGCTTCGAAATCTATATGTTTTTAGTGGGGCAGCCCAGACTTTGATCTAGTGTTGGCATGGGGGAGGGAACAGGTTTCTTGTGCCTTTAGTGGCTGCATGGCGGGCAGAAATGCAATAGGCTAAGCCTTTTATAGTATGAACATACAGTTATGGGAAAAGCTTCACTATGGCTGTGTTGTCTAATTTTGTGTTATGCCATGCCTCCACTCCCCATGGGAGGCAGCTCTGCTGTATTTTGCCATGCCCCCTTGGCAACCTGCCGCACTGCCTCAAAATTTGAAATGTGCCCACTGGTCCAAAAAATTTGACAACCCCTGGTCTACAGCCTGCTGCAGTTTCTCATACTGCAGCTGCTAACTGTTAATGTCCTACTGTAGGAACAGTCACATTTTCTGGCATAAGAACATGCACTTGCCCAGCTTCAAAATCAGTAGAACCCATTCCAGAGTTTTATCAGTGTGAACATAAAGGAAGTATGGTACACCACTGGCAGTGAACAATAGGGGCGAGGGGACAGGGTCTTAGGAGTCCTTTCTGGCATGATGAGTGTAGTGATAAAAGCCTATCCTAGTTCTCATCTGTGAAACGCTGGAGGGCTTGCTTGAAGCATCCAGCTCTCTGCTTTCCTTTTAATCTCCCGTTGGTTCTGCAGTGGCTGCATTGCAGTGCATGTTTTGATCTCAAGCAGTAGAGGCACGAACAGACTGAAAGTGGTTACTGTGCAAAGCTGAAGAGAACAGTGGTCAAGAGGTTGGGATCTAGGGATGTCTCAAAGAGTCATAGAATTGTAGAGCTGGAAAGGATAATCTAGTCCAGTCTCCTGCAATGTAGGAATCTCAACTAGATCATACATGACAGATGGCCATCCAACCTTTGCTTAAAAGCCTTCAAGGAAGGAGAGTCCACAACCTTTCAAGGATGTCTGTTCCACTGTTGAACATCTCTTACTGTCAGAAAGTTTTTTCTGATGTTTAGTATGAATCTCCTTTCTTGTAACTCGAATCCATTGGTTTGGGTCCTATCCTCAAGAGCCGGAGAAAACAAGCTTGCTCCATCTTCCATGTGACAGCCTTTTAGATATTTGAAGATGGCTGTCATATCTCCTCTCAGTCTCTTCATTTCCAGGCTGAACATACCCAGCTACCTCTTCTGTTCCTCATAAGGGTTTACCTTATTGTTTCCAGACCCTTGATCATCTTGGTTTCCCTCCTTTGCACACGTTCCAGCTTGTCAGTATCCTTGAATTGTGCCACCCAGAACTAGACACAGTATTCTAGGTGTGGTCTGACCAAGGCAGAATAGAGTGGGACTGTTACTTCCCTTGATCAAGACACTATACTTCTGTTCATGCTGCACCACACTGTTGACTAATGTTAAACTTGTGGTCTACTAAGACCCGTAGATCCTTTTCACATGGTGTCCCCCATTTTATATTTGTTCAGCTGGTTCTTCCTGCCTAAGTGTAAGACCTTACATTTGTTTCTGTTGTCGATGGTAACAGCTTTGGTCTGTTTTGTCTTGTTACTCCTGGATTACAAGCTGTGCTTGGGAAGTTCTTTTTCACCATTTGAGTAGAAAGGTGGTGACTGTTTTTCACGGTTAGGATTCCTCAGGTGTTTTCTCCTGATGGACATGAATGTTGTTGTCTACTCTTGAATTGTGGATCAGGACAGCTGAGAACATAAGCATATTCCTTGCCCTGTGTGTAATCCTTTTCATGGCATTCTCTAGGTCAATTTGCAGATGTACTTTTGCTTATTTAATACATGAATATGCCACTTTCCCCTCCAAAGATCTCAGGGCGGTGTACATGATTCTTCCCTCCTTATTTTGTCATCGCAACAACCCTGTGAGTTGGCTAGGCTGCGAGACAGGAACTGGTCTGACATGACCCAGTGAACTTCATGGCTGAGTGGGAATTCAAACCCTAGCCTCCTAGGTCATTGCCCAACACTATTAACCATAACACTACAGCTCCCATTGTCCCTGGCCATTGACTTAACCAGCTGGGGTTGATGGGAGTTGTAGTCCAACATCTGGGGACCTGACGTTGATGAACACTACACTAGTTTAAATAATGTGGGCAATGACCTGGAAGTGCTTGCTTTTGGAACTGTATAAGAGGCTTGGCAAAGGCTGCCTTCTGGTCATGTAGTTCTGTTACCTTGGGGTTGACCTTCAAATTCTTTTTGGGAAGATCAGTACTTTTTGCCCTGTGGTCTTTGTATACAGCCATGGCCTGTTGAATTCAGCGGGACTTGTGTGTGTGTGCATATGCATATTTAACCACCCCCAACCTGGTACCCTTCAGATGTTTTGGACTACAACCTGCACCAGTCCAAGCCAGCACGATGTGCCGCTCAAACTGATGGGAGGTTCAGTGCAAACATCTGGAGGGCACCAAGTTGGGAGAGGCTGAATATAGGACCTGGTCACATGTAGAACATATGTTGAACTACTAAAGATTTCTTTGAGACAAACGGTCTTCACATCGTACATGCTCATCATGTATAAACTTCATTGTGGAATAATGCTTAACAATTGGCTGTGTTGCTAACAACGTTAGCCTCCTAACAATGTCCCATCGCATCAAAACGCTGGCATTGTCAGATACTTAGCAAAGGACTGCAGCTGTTCGTTCCTTTAAAAAGTAGTCTTATTTCAAACAAAAGTAATACTTAGCTGGCTTCTGTGCTAGAAACCCAAAACCAATAGCTGCTGAATGTAATGAGGTGTTTGTGGTAGGCTGGCAATTACA